AAAAATCCTGGAGACAGTTATGACAAAAAAATTAAGCACAATAAAAAATGAGTTCTTAGCTGGGCATGGTGGCATATGCCTATGGTCCCAGCTACTTGGAAGGCTAAAACAAGAGGACCACTTGAGTCCTGGAGGTCAAAGCTGCAGTGGGCCCTGATGGCACCACTGCACTCCAGCTTAGGAGGCAGAGCAAGACCTTGTCTCAAAACCAAAACCGAAAGAATGCAACTTATTACTAAGAAAAGGGTGAACACTAAAAGAGAATGTAACGGCCAGGCAATTCTCAAGAGAAGTATACAGATGGTATGAAATAAGAAAAGATGTTCAAATTCACAAACAGAGATATTCTGACGGAAATCTCAAACTGGTCATTTTTTTTAAGTGACACTACACAGGAAGTATGAGGGGAAAGGGTGTTTCTGTGGGCATTCACATGTACTTTCCAGAGAGAAATTTAAAAGCATTTATCAAAGTTTTACATCTGCAATACAAAATCCATACCAATTTAATTTTTTTAAAAATCAGGAAACTGTATATTATTTATAACATAGAGACATTTGATTTAATGTCTATCAATAATTGTTTAAAGAAAATTATGATACATTCCTACAATAGCATCTTTATTCATTATATGCAATGATGCTTACCTATAGTCCTTTGATATATTGCTAAGTGAAAACTGAAGTTGCAAAACTGCCTATGTGATATGATTGCTTCTGAAAGATGAAAAGTTAAGTGTTATAAATCCATGTGGCAACATCTGCAAGATGAGATGTCTGGAAGGACGTGTTCCTGTATGTCAATGGGTTTACATTCTCTAGGATTTCTGGAAGATTATTTCTCTTCTCTCTTTCTTTCTATATCATTTGGATTTTCCATACTATTCGTGTATTGCTTTTGTAAATAAAAAACAAGCCAAAAAATCTGGAATTTAGGTTTAAATGACTCAAAGTTCCACTACACGGTTGTGACCCTTAGCTATCAGTTAGGATCCCGAGTTTCACCTTATCCTTGCTTTTCTTCAAAAGTGTTTCCACGAACAATTCATGACATTTCTGTTAGCTATTATTTTCTATTATTTCAGTAAATATTATCTCAGTACAGTAAGGAATAATTTGAATAATCCATTTAAGATGCAGTAACACTAACAGAAATCAAACAAGACTTATATTAGCTACCGATAACACATACACACACACACACGTACGTCTATCTAACACTTTCTAAAGTGTTTACAACAAATTTTATTTTCCTTCAATAACCAACCTTGTGTGGGAGGTGGGCAGCTTATATTGTACCTATTTCATAGGTGAATTTTGGAGCATTCCAGTGAAATAAAGACACTTTCAAACAGACTAGGAGTTATAAACTCCACAAGCTCTTGGTGAAAGAAGTAGCAAAGGAAGTATTTTAATATGAGGAAAAATGAACTTGGGGGAAGGACTGGAATGCAAGAAATGAAGGTAAGGAAGAATATTAAAAGAATAGTAAAATCTAGTAAGTATAGATAGTAAAAAAGAAAAGGAGAGAAGAGTAAAAAAAATTTTTCATGTGGTTAACAAATGTAACTAAAATACTAGGTGAAAATAACATGATGGCTACAAAAAGATGTTTCCTAGGAAAATTAAAATATGCTAACATTCTTAAGGAACAAAGAGATATGCATAAACCCTCACATTTTGCTAAAAAGTTCATTTCAGAATGTACATTAAGCTTCACAGTAACCACTGAAAGAACAAATATAGAACATATATCTTCAAAATTGATTGAGAAATAAAAGTAAGTTATCTGTCTGTTCAATGTAAGGCAGGAAAATAGAAAAAAAAAAGTGGAAAACATGCATGCATGCAAACAGAAAACCAAAAGATGATGGCAGGAATAAATCTAAATGTGCTGTTAATAAAGGTAAATATAAATGCAAACTTGTCTACTAAAAAAAAAAGACTCTCAAGCTAGGTGTGCTGGCTCATGCCTATAATCCCAGCACTTTGGGAGGCCAAGGCAGGTCGATCACCTGACGTTAGGAGTTCAGGACCAACTCAGCCAACATGGTGAAACCCCATCTCTACTAAAAACACAAAAATCAGCCGGGCATGGTGGTGCACCACCTGTAGTCCCTGCTACTCGGGAGAATGAGGCAGGAGAACTGCTTAAACCCGAGAGGCGGAGGTGGCAGTGAGCTGAGATCCTGCCTCTGCACTTCAGCCTGGGCAACAGAGCAGCAAGACTCCAGAGCTTCTCAGGGGGTGGGGGTCTAGGGGAGGGA